GTATTTATTTTCCTCTACCGAACACCCAGAAATTTTGAAAAATATTCTTAACTTTTTAATTGATGGGTATATTCATAAATGGTGGAATTATTTTTACAATCCAATAATTAATTCTGAGATAAATGACGGTCCGCTAGCTGACACCCTATCAGCACAAGGAGGCAAAGGCTTTCAAGATTACTCAACCATCACGGTTGAGATCACCATCAAGGTGAAAAACAAATTCATTTCCTCCAATGCAGAAAATATCCAATGGATTCATCTCACCACAGATGTCAAATTTTCACAAACTCTGTCCGGGACCAATGACAGGGATCCCAGAATCCTGACAAGGTCCGGACAATTTTTGACGGATCATGGGTGGTGCTAACACCCATATCCAAGCAAACACCACGGAACGAACAACAGCCCCCACAATTATGGATTGTATTCAAGCACTCCACTGGCTCCATGTTATCCAGCCGGGTCCCTCCACCCCAGCAGGTTGCGGGGAGGAGGACTTGGGAGATGGCTGGACGCCACCGACTAAGGATCAAGCCTGGACCTTACTCAAAGCTGACATCACCAAGGCTCCCCGACGGATTAAGGTCCTTAAACCCGACTGGAAAGACCAGGTAGCTCAACTTGGTCCTGAAGCATGGTGGGTCAACAAGCTAGGTACCTACGGCATGGCTTCAGCGCAACTATATTAGGAAAGAATGGGCTGCGTTACTTCTCCGATCGACCTACATGATGTGAAAATCCTACCTGCTATAGCGCTGAGAGATCAGTGACGTTGCAAAATAATCGGGTGGCTGTAGAAGTCTGGGTGGAAGAAACGTAGCAAAAGCCGGATCGTCTTGCCAATGACTCTCAATAAGGCAAACGATTGTCCATAGCGGGGTAGGCGGGCTGTCAAATGCATTTTGTTGAGGGTTTGGTGGTAAGTGCCGTACCATTCTTCTTCGGAAAGGGCAGGGCGGGCCAACAGCCATGCCCCCGCTACCGGCCGCTGGAGTAGTTGAAGGTGGGCTCGGCCACTGGCGTCCTCTGCAGTCACCAGCAGCTGCGCCAGTTGCGCTTTGTCTAAAGCAGCTGAGAGGGCTTGCTGGCGATGGACTTGGTCACCGCGGAAACGATCCGCTTCCAGGACAATTGCATTGTAGGCTGTAGCAGTCGCAGAGGAAGTTGGCCAGTCCGGGTTGTGCCGCCCATCTAAACCTCGATGCAAGGTAAGCAACGGTAGCATGAACGGCGCATTGTCGAAGGCCCAGGCCCCCGTGCTTAACGCCCAAAGTCGCTTGGTGCCAGGTCCGGTCTGGAACTGGGAAGCAGCCAATGGATTCGAGACAGGCGCGCACTTTTCCATCGAAGGCCACCAGTGCTGCACTGTGGAGCCCAGCGGGGGTGGTGCGCATGTTGTGGACAAGCTTGGTGAAGCATGCGCAGTGCCGCAGCAATTGTAAGCTGACGTGTGGGTTGTCCAGCTCGCCCAACGCGTCCAAAACCTTCCCAGCTTTCTGCACCTTGTCGGAAAGAGTGGCTTGGGTGTAGTACTCACTGTCTCCGATAGGGGCCCCAAGGAGGTCGAAAGTTGCTCCTTTCACAGCAAACCCGGCCGGGAACAAGGAAAAGTCAGCTGACCTATTTCCAGCAACAGCAACCAATTCACATTTGGTTGGTTCCACCACCAGGCCCGCAGCCGCAGCTACAATTTGGAGGGCAGCCAAAGAGGAAGCGACCACATCGGCCCGTCCAGCGATCACGACATCATCCAGATAGGACAAACAAAGCTCGACCGGGCACTGGGCTGCTTGCCGGAGGGCAGGTTGCAAAGCGGCTGAGAATAGCAAGGGTCCAAGAGGGTCGTCTTGTTGAACACCTTGTGAAGATTGCAGGGTGTGCTCCCCAAAGAGCAAGGCAGAAGAGCTGTCATAGCACCAGTCAATCCAACAGGCTAAGCCGGGAAAAGCTGCTCGAGTCTTAGACAAGATGGCCAACCGGTCAACGGAGTTGAAGGCATTCTTGAAGTCCACTTTGAGCAGCACCTTATTCACATCGGCTTGGTTACGATCCACCCATTGGCGAATTAATTAATTAAATTAGAATTTTTATTAAAATTTAATAAAATTTATTTATATAAATTTATATTTAAATATCAATATATTTAAATATATAATATTATAATAAAAATTATGATTTTGGTATAGATTTCGAAAACTTGATATTTGGAAATTATATATTCGAATAATATTTTTAAATTAATATTGTTTATTAAATAAATATTAAATTTGGAAATTAATATAATTAATATTATTATGTTTATAATTTTTAATAATTTTTATTTATTTTATATAAATAAATTTAAAATGTTATTAATTATATAATTTCGTAATTATATATAAATATATATAAATATATATAAATATATATATAAATAATAAATAATAAATTAAAGGAACATTAATATATATTTATTAAATAATATAATATAATATAAATTATCTAATAAATTATTTATATTTTTAACTTTACAATATATTTAATATTTATATCAATAATTTATATATTATATAATGAAATATAATAATTAATTTATTAATATATTATTATTGGAAATTATATGTTAATTTGCATATTTATTGAATAAATAAAATATTATAAATTATTATAATATTTCAAATTATATATATGATATTTATTTTTAATATTAAATTAAATTAATTTGAATTATTTATTAATTTAAGAAAAATTACGAATTAATAAAATAATAATATTATTATTATATATTTATTTGTCCTATATTATCGTCTATTTTGATAATATAAAATATTATATTTATTAATAATTAGAATTATATTAATATTATATATTTATATATTTATTTTTATTTTGTTGAAATTTTAACCATAATATATTATCGAAATAATAATAATTATTAAAACAATAATTTTAAAAATATAAAAAAATATAAATACATATTACTTTAGAAATATAAAAAATATAATTAATATAATTTAAAAATATATAATATTATTTATATTATATAATAATTTTAATAATATTATAATTATAATTAAATTATTATTTTTTATTCTAAAATAAATTTTAAAAATATATTAATAAAAAATATATTATAATTTATTAATAATTTATAATGTATTATTTTATTATTAATATAATATATTAATATTATTAATATATATATATATTTCTTAATTAAATATTATTATTAATAATATATTAAATTATTTAGAAAATATATCAAAATTTAAATATTTATATATATATATAAAAATTACAATATATATATATATTTCTAAAATTATATATTTATTAAATTAAATTAAAAAAAATAAATATAATATATTATATTTCTTATTATCTAAATTATTATTTATTTATTATATAATTTAATAAATAAAATATATTTCAAAGAAAAACAATATTTAAAATAAAATTATATATATTATATAATATATATTAAATAATAATATATATATAAATATCAAAAAATAATTTATATATTCATATATATATATATTCATATATATATATAATTATTAAAAATATATTTATTAATAAATACATTTTATTTTAAATTATAAATATATATATATATAATTAAATATAATAAAAAAAATATAATTAGATTCAGGATTTGAACCGGAATCGTGGAACCGAACCGTAAAAAATTAATTTATTTTATTTCATATGATCCCCACCATGATATTTATACATTTTCTTACTGGCAAATCTTCTGGCATTCTATCTGATATATCTTCTGGTATGCTATCTGGCATTCTATTTGGTATAATTTCTGGCATATATTTTGGTATATCTTCTGGTAATTTATCTGGTAAATTTTCTGGCATTCTATCTAGCATATTTTCTGAGATTCTATCTGATATATTTTTTGGTATTTTATCTGACATTTTATTTGGTATATTTTCAGGCATATATTCTGACATATTTTCTGGCATTCTATCTGGTATTTTATTTGACATATCTTTTGGCATATATTTTGATATATCTTCTGGTATTTTATTTGGTATATTTTCTGGCATATATTTTGGCATATATTTTGACATATTTTCTAGCATTTTATTTGATATATTTTTTTGTATATTATCTGGTAAATTTTCTGGTATTTTATCTGGTATATTTTTTTGGTTGTTTGGTAGGTTGAACGACTTACAGCAATAGCCATGGTCCACCGGTACAACCTCCACCAGCAGATCTCAAGGTCAGCTCCGGAAACGTCATCGTTGTCCTTCCCGCAAGCTTCTGGTGGCCTTCTA